TTACTTAGCCTATTCTTTTTCTAAACGGAGTCAGGTGTCATCTATAAAGCAGCTTTCAGCTATTTTTTCCCCTGTGTAACTACTATTAATACTTGTAATAAATAACAATAAATGCCATTTAAAAAAGACTATTTGACCAGATGATGTGATTCATCTGACATCTATAATTTATTATAGAAGTAGCAGCGTTTTCTGGTGTTGGTTTCCACACACTTTATCACGCTGCCGGAGCTGTTTTCTGCCCAGTGCTTTAAATCTTCAAGACGAGAGACTGAAAGTTTGGGGAGGTGCTGCTAAGAGCCGATTTCTCCCCGATTTGCAGCCATGCCATTTAGCAAAATCCTGGCAGCGTCCCTCCCAGGCAGGGGCGAGAGGGGCGACGGGCCCGCGGGGTGCGCGCCGGGCATCGCACGGCGTCGGGGACGGAGGAACGGAAAGCAGGCGGCCGGGAACAAGCGCGGTGGTAGGAGCAGGGCTTGTGGCCCAGCGGAAACGTGCTGTTGGCGAGAGCTGGGCTCTGGTGAGCCAGGGCCTTCTGCGCGTTAGGGTTCAGCTTTGCCGACGTGGCCTTTTATCTTGCAGAAAACGTGCACGAAGCGCTGATCGTCTAATGTCACCCAACCCCAGTTCTGTAGGGCCTGTTTAGGATTCATAGCATGATGGAGAGGGGGTTGTTTTGTTTTGTTTTTGTTTAAATTGAGCCCCCCAGCGATACAGCTAAAAGATGTACAATTCCTCCTTTGTTGCTCCTATATTATCGCGCATAATTATCCCTTCCTCGAAACAGCCTACAATTCAATTAGATAAAGCTCTTTGCTGAACTGCTAAGTAGATGAAAAAAGAAAAAGGAGAAAAAAAGCAGCGTGTGTTCTTTTCTTCTTCATTGAAGGGCATGGGGAGGGGTTTCCCTCACAAGTATGTAGAAGAAAATCAGGGAAAACGTTCTCTATTAGAGGCTGTTTTGAGCAATATTTGCTAAAATGAACCATTCGGTTTAGTTGCAACTATGTATGATTTTAGTGTCATGCCTGATCCGAAGCACCCCAGTCACCTGTGATTTGTCGTAGGCAGCCACAGGTGCTGATGGGTTTGCCTCAGATTGGGCTTTTATTTGTTTGTCTGTCCCAGAAGCATCACAACAGTGATGAAGGTCCATACTAGTGGGACAGAAAGCCGTTTAGAGGTCAGTCCAGCTGCATTAGTTACATTTAAAAAATGAGCGTGACAAACGAATAAGAAGGTACTGCTGGAAACCACCCATCGTTGTGTTCAGTGACGTTCGCTTCTGAAGAAGGCTGAACGCTTCCTAATCCTGTTGCTGTTGTTGGGAAGTCTGGCTATCCCTGTGTCTTGGGATATCCTTGTGCCTTGTTGTGAAGTCCAGCAGGGAAAAGTCTGTAACTCATTTATTGAAATTCCCTACGCTTTTTCTAAGCCATTTTTCTGAGCAGGCAGTTGTGCTCTGTGGAGGTAGGAACCACGAAGACCCAGGGCACTTTGCTTTTTTCTCATCTGCGACCGCTGCCTGGTGGCTGCAAGGAGGTTTGAAGCAGGTGCTGCAGTGCACCGTAACCCAAGGGCTGCTGTGCTCCGTGACCCGCCAGGGGCTGGGCGCAGCAGAGCCAGGGCTGTCACCACCGGGCTGTGCAGCCCCTTGGGGACTTTGGTGGAGTCAATTAATAGCTCCGAGATTCGAGATTCAGTTCTCATTATGTAAATGGGGATAGTAAGAATACACCTTCCCATCCATTCCCTGCCTGTCTTGCCTGGCCAGGCCGCGAGATCTTCAGGCCGGTGGCTGTTTCGTTCTGTTTTTGTGCAGCACCGATGTGAGCTGCCATGCTCAGCTGAAGGCTGTGGTACTGCGGTGTTACAGGAAACTAATCTTCTGACTGTAATGTTCAGTATTCAATATACTTTTAGCAGACCAAATGGAGACGGTGAACTGCAAGCAAAAGAAGCTGTTGAGGGTGAAATGCATGTAGCAGGACTTCTAGCCTGTCTGTAAGGCAGGAAAACATGAGCCTTTAATTTTTTTGACACAATTTTGCAATTATATTAAACGTTTACATGTCTTTGGTCCACTGTGGCAGGCTAATAGTAAATTCATTTGCAATGCCTATTTCTTACCAAAGGCTAGAGCCTTTCAACCCCCTTGTTGTGTCTGGCAGCCCAGGGGATTAATTGCATGCTGCCCTGATGGCAGGTCTCGCAAAGCCAGCCCAGCCTGCTAGTAGCGGGATTATTATTTAACAGCTCAAGTCTCTGTGAGGCGGCTTTTTATTCTACTTCACTTGGTGAGTTTAAAGAGATTTGTAAAGCACTGAACAGCTAAAGCAGAAGTCCGCGCGAGTTCAACAGGGAATGCGTTAGCAGTGGTCCCCCCAGTCTGTACCGTTCCCAGTGATTGCTTCCAAGTTAATCGTGGCTGCTGCACGCATGAATCACTCAGACAGACGGCTAGTGGGTTTCAAGGCTCTTGGTGCCCCCTCAGCAGCAGCCCAAGTGTCTTGGTTATGAAACCTGAAGGGACTCGGAGGCCATCTCTGCTGTCCGTAGAGCCGATGAGGAGGTGCAGGGGGGATCCCAGGCAGGTCGGGGCCGTGGGACCGCCAGCGCTGAGGACAGGCGGTCCCGTTCTGCTGGCAGCCTCATCTCATAAACCCATTCATAAACAGAGTGAACTCCATTTAAAACCACTGGGGAGATCTGGGATGCCACAAAGGCCTTGGGAGATCATCCCTGCTTTGGTAGTTAGAGGCTATCTTCTAATTTTCAGCCTGAATTTACCTGTAGCAAGTTCATAATCGCTTATTCTTATTTCAGCTGTTTCTTTATCAAGTACTTCCCTAACCACTGCTATTTATCCCTTGATATATATGCATATTCCAGATGAAATCTTGTGAAATACTAACACTGCGCTATATCTTTAGAAATGTTTATGTGATTAAATTCTGGGATTTTTCTCAGCTGCATGATGTTGGTGACTCATCGCTGAAGTCCAGTGAGCCCAGCTGGGTTCTCAATTGTTTCTAGCTGCCGAGGTTTCATAGCAAATGTATTGTTACAGGCAGACAAGTGGAGAAACTTGCATTTATTACTATTGAATTCATCCCATTTTTATCACGTGACTCTTCAAGGTCATCCAGTTCTTACTTTGAAATAGCTTTCCTTCAGTCCTCTGGCAGTACAAAGCCTTTTTTTTTTTTTTTTAAACTAATCTGTACATTTCATCCATTAAGTTTTCATGCTATAGCCATTAATGACAATACCGAGACAGGCAGATCCCGAGCTCCCACCGTAAGGAACGTCTCTCCGATAAGCTCCCTCAAATCTGACACTGTTCATTTTAATACTGCCCCCTTCCCACTGTTTTTTCTCATTTTAATGATGTCCTTCGAAATTTGTTCTGAAGCCTTTGTTAGACTGCTGAGGTCTAACAAACAGGCATGAAATTACCTGGATCGCTTTCTCTGTTCTTAAATAGATGAGCGCTGTGGCTGCTCTTGAGCAGCCCGGCTCCCACGTGGTCCATCAGCAGCTCCCTGTGCGCTCGAGATCGTTCAGGATTTGGGGAAGGGGCTGGACGGGCTTCTGGCTCAGCTGCTTGGGTGCTGTTGGTTGGTTGGGTTGGATTGGTCCAGCTTCTCTCGCCATGCCCTCATCCTTATGCCTTTGCGCCTTTGTCTTGGAGGTGCCACGATGATCCTTATGAAAGATTATGACAGACGATTCACTAGTTTTAAAAATATCTAGTTCATTCTTAATTTCTTACCTCCTCACTAGACAGCAAACCTCAATTTTTATATCTTTGTTCTCCTTTTATATGACCAAAGAACCTTTTGCTATGTCGTATCTTACACAGGATCTAGCTCAACTTATTTAATGGCAATTTCTTCTTTACCTCTGCCTTTCTTGATCTCTAAGTCATAGGTCTTTTCTAATCAGACTTCTTCTATTTCACTCTCTGCTTATTTTAACTTTTTAAAATATTCTTTTAATATACTATTACTTCTCCAGGGAAGTTTGATCACACAATCTTTTTGCATTTTCTTGGGGTTCAAATTTGACATAGTGTTAGTATTTTTCACTTGAAGAAATTCTGGGCTTTCACCGCTTGCAATCCCCTAAGGTCCTGAATGCAATTCAGTTCACTAACACAGTTCAGCAAATGCCTTTTTGGAAATGAAAACCCTAATTATAAATTTAGTTTAATTTGTCTGTCAAACTATTTTAACTTGTGGTCACCTGAACAAAAATTATTCTCTGAGTGTTATGCAAGAAAACCAAGTTGAGAATACTGTTGTTCCCTTTTGGCTTGGTCCTTATTTGGTGAAGAAATCCGCTTTGTATGGAATTTGAAACGTTTGAGCCTTGGCATTAGGAGTAGCAAGGGTGCTTTATTTGGAGGTAAGACCTGTCAGTTGCTGGACAGCCATTAGCAGTGTGTCTCCCGGTGGGGACTGTAACAGCAGGTTCAAAGCCTTTAGCTTCTGCAGCTGCAGGATGCGATACTGCTGCTGGGACAAGAAGTCATTCTTCTGCCTTGCCCTTATGTGAAAGTGTAACACAGCCTATTTGTATCTGCAGGGAGATTCATGCCACTAATTTTGTCTTTTACCTGCAGTGGGTTTTAGGGTTACGTGTCTTGCTTGTTTGG